AATTCGCTGCCCCTATGAGGATCGTGTTGCAGACTCTGGAGGGTGAGTTTTGGCATGTTTCACTATATCAGGAGGCCGTTCGTAGCCGCCTATGAAATGAGAATTTATTCACTTTTTGATTCCATAGAAATAGCGTATAGTATTTCAGGTGATGCTGATATATACTTCTCGTACACTGACAAATCCGTATCCTATGACCTGAGTACACATGATGCCTCATCAGCTACATGCGGCCTTGACTACATTGATGTCATGTCAAAGCCACGGCCATCTTATTTAGGAGTGAGTCATCCTTCTTTTTTACTTTCCCTATTTTTCAGATGAGCTTAATTCTGTAGTTTGTATCTGGAAGGCCTTTTACGCCATGAACGAAAAATTTACTTTTATTTGGTCTGAAAATGCTGACGACCCGTGACTGAGGTGACTAGCATGACAGGCTTTTTCGACTTTAGGGGAGATCGTGCTAGAAGTATTCCCACTGACCATGAGTTGTCTGATTACAAGGGCACTTTGGCGGCGGCGGGGGGGGGATGCATTTTGCACTATCGATGCTTCATCAGTTCCGGTTTACAAGTCTCACTCTGGCGAAACCTGTGAACTCTTGTGAATCTGGAGCAAGGTCTAGCCATCATGGTAGAACCTGTCAACTCTTGTACGCCCACAGAATGGCTCTCTAGATGGGTCGACACGTCGATGGAAGTAGCTAAAGTGCGAAATGCCTCTCCCCTCCTCCGTCGTCGTACTGCCCCCCCCCCCTTCCTCGGTTACAGAGGTTTCAGAGGGTTGATCAGCTCACAGGAACAAATTTCCAGCTGAATTCAGTTTTGAACTGAACATGGGGGGCGGGAAGAGTGGAGCAGTGTCCTCTACTTACTTTTATTTAATGAGTTCAGAAAATGAGGGAATGTGACTAAAACTGATTGCAGGTTTGACTATGTTTACCCGCAATTTTTAATACAGGTATATGGACATCCCTCGAAAAATGTATCTTCCTATCGACTTCTGGTCATAGTTGCTCCAGATGGAAATTTTGAACATGGACCTGAGCTCATTCATCAGTAAGTCTCTGCTTCCTGCATCTACTCAACAATTGTTCCTTTTGAGATAGTTTAGTGTGATAACTGCTGTTTAAACACCCTCCGTTCGCGCCTCGAAAGGTTATCAAGGGAGTGCTGAGTTACGGGCAGAAGTCGTAGCCTGGGCGCGACTCGAGCCGGCATCTTCTACTGACTGGCGCGAGTGCGCTATTCATTACGCCTTCTGGGCCGCTTTTACTCTCTATTACCCTCTCAGTTGTTTTTGTGACATAGCCTGCAATTAACCCTTGAAACCGGTTCACAGCACCTTTTGTTTCACATCGACTGGAGAAGTGCCGTGCATTAACATTATGTAAAGCTTCGCTTATATTCCGCGGAAAAGCCCTATTTGGAGCGAACCCGCGTTTCCAAAGAACTGGCGGCAAAGAATAGTCCGAATTCCTAAGATGCAGTAGGCGCGGCTACGTACAGCATTTGAATGTGGCATCGGCTGCGCTTTTGGTGAAATGCTTTCTACATTTCGGGGACAATTGTAGCTATGCCCTTGTCCAATTTTGTCATAATGTCCAACACTAGACAAGGTGACACTCTCAAGTCAAATCATCTGACAAATAACCCATCCTATGCCGTGTTGGAATGAAGTACGCAGCCAGGCCCCGCGTGTCAGGGATACTGGGTGTAAAAGTACGTGAAGCGCGTACGTAGGTATCTGGCTGCTAATGCCGTTTGGAGGCGCTGACTTTCGGCTGCGAGTTCATTTTTAAAGTGTCTAGATCAACAAGGTTCAGCTGTAACGGAAGGCGGATAATCGTAATGTTCCCCATTAGCGCCAGCGCCAAGAATGAATTTCATGGTCGGAATCATGTTATTACGTTAGGTTACCTCTATATACAAGTAGTACAACGGTTTTAGTGATTTAGGCACTTCAGAAATGAGCTTGCAGCCAAATGTCAGCGCGTCCAAACGGCATTAGCCGTATTTGGCGAATTCGAGAGTCACGCTTTGTCACCAACTCTTCGAAGTCGCTGATTTCCCGCATTTCTAAAGTATGAACGGGGCGTAAACAAGTCTCTGCCTTTGCCCCTTGCCTACTGAGCCTTTTTGAGAGGATTCGTGATGGCATCAGCTACCGGTATTGAATACGCTCAATAGGTCCATTCATTTTCTTCACGTCCAACATCCTCCAAGGAGCTTTGAGTCGCCCGCACCGTGCGGTGGTAACTATTTGAAGAAGAGTACTTCAGGCGCTTGCGTTCTTCGTCGGATTGTGACTGATATTTCCCCAAATTGTAACACCCTGGCTTCTTCTATTCTTCTTGAATTCTACGATGTTAATTCTTCAGATGGTCCGAACTTGCTGAACGAGACCGAGAAGGAAGAAGTAGCCATCCGATCTACATCGATATATTATCAGGAATTCTAGAGATTCTTGTTGAGATTTTGTTATAGTAGGGATTATACTGTTCTCCTTTAATTGAAAAACCTTCTGGGTGCCAGGGTTGTGCCTTAAGATATCTGTTTCTTTTTTATTTTTGCCATTGTTTTTGCTATGAATTCTCGATGTCTACCTGTCGCACGAAGGTTGTTGCTCTATTTTTCACTCTTTTCTTGGGGTTTAGCTCCTTTTTTCTCGTACTATAACTGCTCCAGTAAGGCGGGGCATTTAGAACTGGAGGGGAAGAAGTAAAGATAGTGAGCGAGGTGAGAAATTCCGTCTAATCATAGGGTAAGCAGCTTTGTGATGGATGAACTTATTCCTCGTGGTAAATTTCGTGATTTTTGAATACTTTCTGTACTTCGCAGCAGAATGCCTTACTTTACTTGGTTAGCACCCTCATATTGTTATGTGAGCTCTGGTCAATAATGTGTGAATGTAAATTCTGTAAATTTTTCATGTTTTTGTCTTGTCATGTCATGTCATAAAAAATTCAAGCAGCAGCCGTTCTTGCTCGTGTTGTTTGATCAGTTCGTACTTGTCTTAAATAGTAATGAATGTTACGCGTTGCTTATCCGTGAAACCGCTAAGGGCGCATTCTTACTTCGCGATCCGATCGCTTGGATCGCGCTGTCTAGTCGCTCGAGCGATCGAAACGATCAGATCGTGAAGTGTGAACGCATTTCAAGATAACGGTTTAGGTGAAGGGTAGTCAAAATGGCTACCGAACTGGTGCAACCAGCTTCGCATTCATCCATACAGTTACAGTCATTTGAAAAAGGTACGTCAAAGGTATTTGCTTGTTTCGTTTCTTTCCTGTTTCTTCACATTTCTAGCACATTTGTTATATGCGATGAGATGTTGGCTAGTTGTATAGTGAGCGGTCCCGTGCCGGTATCGGCTACTCGCCGAAGCTTACTATTCCTGAATGGTTGTCTGGATTTACGGTAGTGTTTCCTGGTTAGATCAATTGAGCACTCGTGTGTTATGATCGCCATCACTTGAATGCCGCGCAAGTGGCATCATTTGTAACATTACGGAGTGGGTCTCCCAGCTGGAGGAAGTTTTCGCTGGATATGATCTCTTTTTATTTGCTCCTTCGGGGTGAATCCCGGCGCTGTTTCCCTTGGTAGGTGCATTTTTGTATGCAGTGCTGGCGATTAGGGTGTAACTAGTGCGCGTCAAACAGGAAACATCAACAATCAGGAAAGATTTCTCAGACAAATTTGTCCCCCTCCTTCCAGCGACCACCTACGACCCCGTCAGGGAACCCCAAACAATGATGTGCCCCGATCTCATGGAACATGCTGTTTCCCATTGCGATCAAAGACCAGTTTAGTAATCTTGTCCAATTCGGCAGCGTTCTTTTTTTAACAGGAAACTCAGAAACTGCGGAAAGTTAGCGTTTGGACCTTTACGATATCTTTTGAGTGTGACCATCTAGAGGTGTAATCCCCCCCTCTCCCTCCCCCCTCATCGGAGAATATTGTAATGACAGGAAATAAACGTGAACTGCCATTAAATGGGGGGGGGGAGGGGAGGGGGCGTCGATAAGAAATAGGGTAAGATGCTCGCCAGAGGAACATCTACCAAATGAAAAGTATGCCTAGGGCCAGAAGGGCTGTACAGTCGTCATCCGGGCAGTTGATTAGGCGACCAAAGGGTCGCAGGCGCGGCGCGGCGCTCACAACCGCGACTATCAGCTGTTTCCAGCCTGGTTTACATTTTCTCCATAATTTTCACGGTATTTTCTATTTTTTCCAAGATAAGTTGTGCAGTGTCTTTATGAAGTATATTAGAACGTGGATTCTTTTTTGTTTTTGTAATGAGGTGTTTTTGCAATTTTTTAGGTATTTGTTTAAGCTGTTTGATTTAAAGTAGTTCTAATTTTCCGCAAAAATCGACAGAGAAATTCTCACATCTAATTTACCGTTGTGAACAGTACAGGAACAACTTAACCTCAAGAAAAGCAGCCAAAAGCAGTGAAGAAGTAGGCGAAGAAAGTTAACAAGCTCGGCGCCGACAAGAGCTGATCGCCGCCAGAGTTCGTACGTACACGGTCGCTGCTGCAGCCGCGTCTGGAATTCTTCGACGACCACCTAATCAACTGCTCGGGTGATGACTGTATTTTGTTACAGAATTTGAAATGTTCGATCCTAACTTTCGCGGAACTCCAGTGCATGGTGCTTCCTGAAGGGGCAGATGAAAGCCGAATACATTCCCTTCTTACTAACTTCACATCAATGCCTCACGATAGAAGGGTTGGCTTGCTTGATTGAAGCGAGCCATTGTGGAGAGTCAGGAGGGTGTCGCGTACGCTTGCGATTTCCCAGAAAGTGGTATTTGGTCACTAGTAGATATTTTAGTTATGTTATTGTCACTCCTTTATAGTGTGATAGTTTTGTTCAAAGATGCAATTTAGCACTGAACATTAATGTTGATTGACAGGTCTCCGGTCGCCATCACTTGGTGACCAGCTGGCTACTGTAGTCTCTACAGCCAGCTTGGTGAAAGCTCATCCTTTCCCAATGTACGTCAATACGATAGTAGTTAGATTAGCGGACGCCTTCAAAGATGGGTGCGTGCAAATTTTACTTCCCTTTTAGCTACATTCGCAACAAATTTCCTCTTTCAGGTCAAACCCTCTTCGCATGACCATAGCGCGAGTACTATCAGAATGCAGATCGCATTTGTCTTTAGTTTTTTCTGGAAGTGAGATTTTCAAGAGGTTCTTATCTGTTTCCCATTCCAACGATCCTGTCGCTCGTGCCATGACCCTTCAGGTGAGAAAATTTTTTTAGGACTTACAAATTCACGGTTCAGTATCCATTGTCAATTTCAGGTATTAGCAAGTCTTGCTCCAATATCTCCCGAAAGCAAGCAGGTATAGTGTGACAGCTGAGGCCTCTTTTTGAGGTCCAGTGAATAGAATAAGTCGTTTATAATGTAGGTACATCATCTCATTGTGGAGTCAATGGCGGCAGAGAATCCCGGCGAATTTCAAGCGGCTTGTCATGCTATGGCCGCTTTCGCTCATCTTTCTTCGTGAGTTTCCACTGTCGCTTTCCAGACTGCTGTGAGATTTCCTCAGATCGACATTAATTTTCGCAATAGCTGCGACTATGAGCCGTTTCATGTTTTCTTCTGCTTAGGCTCTAAGGTATGACTAGATCTATCCGAATTATACAGTTTATATGTTCAGCACTGTGGAACTTATGTAGTGTCAGAGGATTTATGAGCTTCACTTCACTGGCCTTTCGCCTAGAAATCTACGGTATGCTCCCCAGGTGTCCTTGTTCACGAAAGGAAAACCTAGCAGAAGACTCGCGGACCCAATCCAACCCTAGACCCTCCTTCCCGTATGAAGCCGACTAGAACAAGGGTTTACTTCCTGGACCGTCGTCAACGGAATAAACGACTGGAAGGAGTTTCATTCTGTCAGTTGCGAAGAAGACGGTGAAACTCAGCCTGCATCTGACCTGAGGGTCAGAGTTAAGCTCATTCCACTGCTAGCCAGAATGTACAGTGTCTATTTGATAAATTCAAAACGTCAATTCCTAGTTACTACCAAATAAAGTACATCTTCATCATGGGTAAATGTGGTAAAAATGGAAAGGTATTATTTCAGCGATTTCTCGAGCACCATCATCGGGCAGCTGTCCGAATTATTATTGGCCGAAGAAACCACGTGTGACCGGAAGGCGCAACTTGTGCAAGTTTTTGCCAACATGAAGGCGACCGTGGCATCGGTGAAGGTAAAGGAGTTGTCTCTATTTGATGATAGCTTAATTATGTATTGATCTTATCCCTAGGATATCCCTGTGAGACTTTCATTTCCCTTTTATTCAAAATCAGCAGCAGCCAAGTAGGGCTTGACTATGCGAAGCACAATCCTACTAATATAATCGGCTATGTCCGTGTGTGTGTGTGTCTGTCTGTCTGTCTGTCACGAAATTCATAGCACCTGAAGAAGAACTTGGAGGGTCGGGTC